ACGTCATTAACTTGGTATATTTCTCCTAAGTTTTAGTACCAAAGAAACTGTATCGTAGTTTAAAGCAACTTTACTCACTACACTACAGTGCAACACATGGTTTCAGAAAAAAATTATAAATAAAAAAGAGGTGTCAATTCATGGAATAAATCCATTTTGGAGGCGTTTTAAAATGCTTCTGTTTTTACTATCACCAGTTTTGCCTCTAAATTGTAATAGAATGAGATACACTTTATTAAAGTGTTTATAGTATTGCATCAAGCTATATGGATGCATAATTAGCTGACATTAACGTATATAAATGTTGGTCCGTAATGCCTATAATAATGTATTAACATACAGTAAAAGTCCAGTCCATCTGGTCTAATGCTCTTAGTCATAAAAGCTCTCTTTCACACTCTTGCTCAGTGTCCAATAGCCCTTCTGTACAACCCTAACCTTGCTGAATATTTAATACTGGCTGTTAAATATTTAATGTCACAGATATTCACTGCTATATTTAGGATTCATATATTGTAACTTTCAACTTTTCCTGGAAACACGTGGAATGTCCCACATTTAGTGGGAATAAGTAAACCTTGTTTCTGTAAATGAGTATCTTAACCTCTGCAGGGGTCAGCGGGAGCTGTAGCTTGCTAAATATTATTGATATTACTGCGACATTTTCATTTTGCTTTTGAATGTAATAAAATGAAAAAGTGCAGTTTTGGATTATAATAAGCAGTTTTGCCAGTTCTTTTCAACTATTGGCTGTCCTTAAAGCGTCTCAAAACTGAAATAACTTCCTGTTAGTAGCCACTAGATGTCAGTAAAATATCATCATCCCTCGAAGGGTCGCTATTAAAACTGAGGAATCTAATGCACTGTCACTGATATGACAGAGGGTTTATATTGAGACCTTTCATGAAGTGTGGATGGAAAAGATAATGTTTTTGGTTCACGATGCCATTGTAATGCCCTACTTACAAGCATATTTATCATCATGTAAATAATTTATTCAGCAATTAAAAGTGACAGAGGGTAATTGAGTGAGTAGTATTTGTCTGTGTCATGTGATCTCAACATGGTGGGGAGCGGCATGTGGGTGGGATACAAAAGCTTTTTTTTAGGCCACTGATATGACTGGAGCCTTTCATATGAACTATTCATTTAGGGGTATTTTTTTATTGTGGAAAAAGTGCAGTTAACACATTTAGGTTTAAATTAAGCTCCTCTGAAATATATATATATATATATATGTGACTAAGGCATGTACAAAATGCAATGCACATTAATCTACTATTTTTCCTGTTTGCTATTTGCTATTTAATATTTTTTTAATGTTTTTGAAAGAACCAATATATTGTGAAAGAACAGTAATATTGTGAATGTGTGTGTGTGTGAGTGTATGTATAATTTATTTCTGTGATGGCAAACCTTTTTTGTAGGATTCTTTTAATCGAAAGAAAGTTTAATTAAGCAGCATTTGAAATAGATATATATTTTTTTACATTATAAATGGCTTTACTGTTTTGATAAACTGAATGTGTCCTTGCTGAATAACATTTATTTATTGATTTATTTATCTTTCTATCTTAATCCAAACTTTTGAGTGTATCTGTATCACAGTTTCCACAAAAATATTAAGCAGTAGAAATGTTGATAGCTTTGAACATTGATAAGAATAAGAAATGTCTCTTGAGCACAAATCAACATATTAAAAAATAATTTCTGAAGGATCATGTGACACTGAAGACTGGAGTTGGAGTAATGATGCTGAAAATTCAGCTTTGCAGCACAGGAATAAATTCAGGAATAAATTATATTTTTATAATATTTCACAACAACCTATATACATATATACAGTGTTACATATATGTATGAATCTGAACCTAAACCTTATAACATTTAACATTTGTTCTTATTTTATGCACTGTAAACTCAGGTTCTTGAGACTGATAAAAAGCGATCTCTTTGACAAATACTGCCTGCCCTCGTCTCTGATGCTGTGTGTTCTCATGTAGAACTCCTTATATAATCAACAAGCTGCTTGAAAAGCACTTGAGAATGGAAAGTGTGTTATCTTTCTTGTCCTGATAAAAGGCTGCAGGGTTAACGGTGGCTTGTGCTGCAGATCCAGACTCTGGCCTTCCACATTAGCATCACATCTCTCACGTCCGCATTGGCATAGACACTTTGATCTGCGCCTGGTCTCCAGTTCTTGTAAATGGTTTGCGAGAAGGACAGAGCCTCATCAATCGTGCTTAATTGGTCTTTTTTGCTATGCATGATAAATGGGATTCATGTTCATTTTGGGGCAGTGCTCATGGAGAAAAGGAAGGGATGGACTAGATACAGAATAATGTCCCTTGTGAGGTTTGTGTGCTACATTGTGGGTTTCAAAATTCAGGACATTTATTAACCACTTTATTAATGTCTTGTATAAAGCCTTAAGATCCTTTCTGCCAGACAAAACACTAAACAGAATGGTACATAAAACAGTTACACAGAGCAGTGAAAAATATACTGTACAAGACATAAATGTAACAGTTAGCAAACATGACTGCTACAGCTTGTTATTTATCTTCATTTTACCATCTTATTATGACACACACACACATACACACACACACACACAAATATATATATATATATATATATATA